TAAAATTAAAAACATTAAACAAATATTATTTAATTCTTTTGGTTTATATCATTTATTTTTGTAAAAAGTTATCTAATATTTATTTCTCTACATTTTGTGTCTAGAATTACGATATTATTATGGGCGTATATTTAAACTTAAATATCGTAGATAGAAAGATAGATTCCACTTTTTGAGATATTCATGAGAAAAACTGAAATGTAGTTACGATTATTTTATTGATTTATATAATATAAGGATTGTCCACAGTTTGGAAACCCGACTCGAATTATTCTGGATTAAATTCGAACTCAGATTTTCGATGATGATGGGTTGAGAAATTATGATTTTTGATATTTCACTTATGAATAATGCTATCTATTTTACTTTATCAATAGATAAAAATATATTGAGTTTGTTTTTTATTAAAACGACAATAGAAATTATATTTTTGATTATATTTCTTATCATTATTTATGGATTATTATTATTTTATTTTGTGTAACTTGTGTTGTCTTCATACTGCTTACTGTATATAATAAATATTTTTATATCATTAATTTCAAATTAACATCGCGGAGTCGAGTATACTATAAATATTTTAAACAAAATGTATAATTTAAAATTTTCCATAAAAATTCTACTAATTATGATGACGCCAGATTAGGCAATGTCTATATTTAATCATCTACAATAATAGAAAAGATAAGTTTTAATGAAAATCAGAAAAGTAAACAAAATCCTACCCAACTTTTTATTCCAAAAGCCATTTATATAGTTTTTTTTTTATTAAAAAGTGATGTCACATACCATTGTTACATGACATATGGAATTTAAAATTTGTAACTTTCTTTCGATTTTTAATTATTTATTTTTAACAGATACAATCTGTATCTGTTTACATTTTTCTAAATGCAGATAAATTTTATTCAAGGATAAGTGTCATATGATATTTGACGTGTAAGTCTATTTTCTTTTTATCTTTCGTTTTGCAATAACATATTGTGTAACATATATATATATATATATACCGGTGCATATTTATAATGCTATTTACCTTTCAATGATTGATTAAACTTTAAATACAAATAATATTGTTAATTATCCATAGTAAAAAGCTGAGTATTTGTGTTTGGAGAAGTTACAATCAAGTTTTATCTATGGCTTCAATCCAAAAAATAAATATAAAAAAATCTAATCACGGCCATTAACCTTATTTTTAATTAATAAATCACTGGATCCATAGACTTAAATAGATTAAATCTNATTTTTAATATATATCTTAATAAGAATAGCAATTAAAATTATCTTATTGGCAATTTTAATTACAAGAAAAATCGTATTTCTCTTACGATTATAACGATTGATTGCCTTTATTATATCTTATAGAATAAAAAAAAAAGCTTAAGTAGCTCTGACTTATTTTTACAAAAAAAGAAAAAAAGATCAATAGTAAATTACGTAAAGTGAATCTCGTGCCAGGTTAAAATTATGTTAGACAAAGCACGATTGAAATAAAATATAAAATTGAAAATTTGTTAATTCAGAATAACATAGTACAGAATAATTCAGTTGTAATGTTTGTTTTATTAATAGAATTACTAAACCACAGTAGGATAACTTATGTAATAATCATATAACCATAATAAAATTACTACAGTTATAAGAGCATATTATGCGCTTCTTCTATAGGCAAAATAATTACTTGTTCTGATGAACGTGTTGTAATCAAACTATTTGAATATTAAATCGAAATAAAAATAAAAATCGCAGTTTAAAAAGTAAAAGTTAAATGCGATTATAAATAAAATGTAAAAGCTTTTATTTTAATTAAATTTGAACGTTTATATAATTAATTTTTTTAAATACTTGCTTCTCAATTCTCACACTTTCGCCAAGAACTGAATCTTTTAGTTTAGCTACAGTAACTGAGTTTACAAACAGTTTTTAGACACTCAACTATTTTTAGCGTTTTAGAATCAGTGGTGGTTTTCGAATGCCGGAACAATACATTTATTTCAATAGTGAATTTTGATTTTGGGTCTAAGTAGTAGGCTAAGTTAAACTTGCAAATGAAACCAAATTCCTTACGTTAATTCTACTAATTTTATTCAAGAGTTAAATGCAGACCAATAAAGGTCTACATTTAACTACTCCTTATTATACTCCTTTAAAGTTTAAAGAAAAAAACAATTTGACATTCGTTCATTCATTCATTATTAACAGTCAAATTTAACTCTCGATTCAAAAGGAGAATTAGAGGTCGAACTTATCTACGTCAAGTGTAGTAGTAAGATGTTTACAATCCTGAAGCAAAAACATCTGCATTTAGAATATCTATAACAGACTATTCTTTACGATTTTGGCAACTTTTACATCACGCTATAAAGCTATTTTTGCTTGCAAATTTAGCAGTTTTTTTACGCAAAATCAAATTGACTTTTGATTGTTGATACTGTTTATAAATTGATTTACTGAATAAGATTCGGTGAGATTATGCAAGACAACAAAAGCATCATTAAACGGGAATGCTTTTGAAAGCGGAATTTTGTCTTGTGACAAAAGAATTTGGGAGATATCCAATCACGTGACGATAATTTCCTTTCAATTGCATTTAAATTCGAAACAAGTCGCTGGAGTCAACCAAATATTATTCGAGAGCTGAAATGGACGCCGAAACAATAATAAATGCTGATATTGGAGATATTTCGCCAGTTCCAGCCCACGATCCGTATGTTGTTTTATGTTATTTAGTATAGCTTATTATCTGGGTCTTAACACGTATGTCGGGTGAGCGTGGGAGGGTGAGATTTATGAACCAAATTATTTTAAGTGACAAGACTTGAAATTTCTATTTATTGATATCGGATTATCATCAGATCCAGACTCATTCTTTTGTCACTATTTCTGTTGTTAACGTAAGTCATTCACCCTCTTACCATAGATTTAGCTATTCACCTGCTTATGATAGTCATGCACTATATGATAGACTCATTTTACATATGATTTTTATCTTATTTAAATATATTTTGTTATTTTAGTAATGTAATTATAATAAATAATATATATAACGCAATTTTTTAAATTAATTATTTATATTTTGAAATTGCAGCAGCACCAATACTTTCAATTTTAAATTATAACTATTCGGTATTTCCTTTTTATTCCTAAAAAGGAAATCTTACAGTTAGATGGTTATAATTAAATTTCGCCTATTCAGTTCTGTTCTAATTAACGGATTGCAAAGAAATCTTGAGGATGTAGTCTTCGTTCGCACTACACAAAAGCTATTTCTGAGAAAAATTTCTTCAAATTTCAGCCACTAGATAAAAAGTTGTACAGTAGAGCGTCGATTATCCGAATCAATTGGGGACGGGTGGTTCGGAAGACCGATGTTTCGGATAACCGATTATGTACGAAAAAATATATTAATTTATCCCATCTAGACATTTTTCTCCGTTGCATGTCGCTTCGCGGTTGAATTTTCGTCGATGTTAAGCCTAACGAAGACTATTTTGTCGTTAAAAATTACTTTTTTATTTTATACAAACAAAATAAATATATTGAAAAATATAAAAACAATAAAAAATTATAATTCAGAAGTTAATTTAATTTCATAGCAAACGCTTATTTGATTATATACAGTAATTCATTTATGGCAAAGACTATAAAAGAAATGTTTATATAATTGTATCTTTAATATATATCTTAATAAGAATAGCAATTAAAATTATCTTATTGGCAATTTTAATTACAAGAAAAATCGTATTTCTCTTACGATTATAACGATTGATTGCCTTTATTATATCTTATAGAATAAAAAAAAAAGCTTAAGTAGCTCTGACTTATTTTTACAAAAAAAGAAAAAAAGATCAATAGTAAATTACGTAAAGTGAATCTCGTGCCAGGTTAAAATTATGTTAGACAAAGCACGATTGAAATAAAATATAAAATTGAAAATTTGTTAATTCAGAATAACATAGTACAGAATAATTCAGTTGTAATGTTTGTTTTATTAATAGAATTACTAAACCACAGTAGGATAACTTATGTAATAATCATATAACCATAATAAAATTACTACAGTTATAAGAGCATATTATGCGCTTCTTCTATATGCAAAATAATTACTTGTTCTGATGAACGTGTTGTAATCAAACTATTTGAATATTAAATCGAAATAAAAATAAAAATCGCAGTTTAAAAAGTAAAAGTTAAATGCGATTATAAATAAAATGTAAAAGCTTTTATTTTAATTAAATTTGAACGTTTATATAATTAATTTTTTTAAATACTTGCTTCTCAATTCTCACACTTTCGCCAAGAACTGAATCTTTTAGTTTAGCTACAGTAACTGAGTTTACAAACAGTTTTTAGACACTCAACTATTTTTAGCGTTTTAGAATCAGTGGTGGTTTTCGAATGCCGGAACAATACATTTATTTCAATAGTGAATTTTGATTTTGGGTCTAAGTAGTAGGCTAAGTTAAACTTGCAAATGAAACCAAATTCCTTACGTTAATTCTACTAATTTTATTCAAGAGTTAAATGCAGACCAATAAAGGTCTACATTTAACTACTCCTTATTATACTCCTTTAAAGTTTAAAGAAAAAAACAATTTGACATTCGTTCATTCATTCATTATTAACAGTCAAATTTAACTCTCGATTCAAAAGGAGAATTAGAGGTCGAACTTATCTACGTCAAGTGTAGTAGTAAGATGTTTACAATCCTGAAGCAAAAACATCTGCATTTAGAATATCTATAACAGACTATTCTTTACGATTTTGGCAACTTTTACATCACGCTATAAAGCTATTTTTGCTTGCAAATTTAGCAGTTTTTTTACGCAAAATCAAATTGACTTTTGATTGTTGATACTGTTTATAAATTGATTTACTGAATAAGATTCGGTGAGATTATGCAAGACAACAAAAGCATCATTAAACGGGAATGCTTTTGAAAGCGGAATTTTGTCTTGTGACAAAAGAATTTGGGAGATATCCAATCACGTGACGATAATTTCCTTTCAATTGCATTTAAATTCGAAACAAGTCGCTGGAGTCAACCAAATATTATTCGAGAGCTGAAATGGACGCCGAAACAATAATAAATGCTGATATTGGAGATATTTCGCCAGTTCCAGCCCACGATCCGTATGTTGTTTTATGTTATTTAGTATAGCTTATTATCTGGGTCTTAACACGTATGTCGGGTGAGCGTGGGAGGGTGAGATTTATGAACCAAATTATTTTAAGTGACAAGACTTGAAATTTCTATTTATTGATATCGGATTATCATCAGATCCAGACTCATTCTTTTGTCACTATTTCTGTTGTTAACGTAAGTCATTCACCCTCTTACCATGGATTTAGCTATTCACCTGCTTATGATAGTCATGCACTATATGATAGACTCATTTTACATATGATTTTTATCTTATTTAAATATATTTTGTTATTTTAGTAATGTAATTATAATAAATAATATATATAACGCAATTTTTTAAATTAATTATTTATATTTTGAAATTGCAGCAGCACCAATACTTTCAATTTTAAATTATAACTATTCGGTATTTCCTTTTTATTCCTAAAAAGGAAATCTTACAGTTAGATGGTTATAATTAAATTTCGCCTATTCAGTTCTGTTCTAATTAACGGATTGCAAAGAAATCTTGAGGATGTAGTCTTCGTTCGCACTACACAAAAGCTATTTCTGAGAAAAATTTCTTCAAATTTCAGCCACTAGATAAAAAGTTGTACAGTAGAGCGTCGATTATCCGAATCAATTGGGGACGGGTGGTTCGGAAGACCGATGTTTCGGATAACCGATTATGTACGAAAAAATATATTAATTTATCCCATCTAGACATTTTTCTCCGTTGCATGTCGCTTCGCGTTGAATTTTCGTCGATGTTAAGCCTAACGAAGACTATTTTGTCGTTAAAAATTACTTTTTTATTTTATACAAACAAAATAAATATATTGAAAAATATAAAAACAATAAAAAATTATACTTCAGAAGTTAATTTAGTATCAAAAACGTAAAATATTTGAGTAGCCCAAGACATAGCCAAAGATTGCAGCGCCACAGCACTGGCGAAAATTTAAATTTGCCGACTGGAATTCTTTCGGATGATTGACTTTCGGATAATCGACGCTCTA